CACAAGTATTAAACAGGAAAAGCTTGTTACAGGGTCGGTTAAGAGGCCACTAGATAAGATTAGTTCCCTGAATTCTTCTGTGAAGAAGCCAAAGCTCTCAGATCCAGTTTCATCAACTAAAATTAAGCAAGTACCTGTGAAGCATGAGTCAAAGGTAGATGATGATGATGATATTCCTATTTCACAGAGATTAGCCAAGTCTTCTCCATCAGGAAATAAGTCGTCATCAGTGAAGAAGATTGAAAAGGCAGTTAAAGTTAACAAGTCTGGTTCAGCATCATTTAGAAACAAGTCAAGAAAATGAAGAAATCAGGCAGTAATTCAGAATATTCTAAGTCTACAAAACTTCTTCCTAGTGAAGGAGATGGGCAGAAAAAGTGGACTACCTTGGTTCACAATGGTGTTATTTTTCCACCTCCTTACAAGCCCCATGGTATAAAGATGCTCTACAAGGGAAGCCAGTCGCATTAACTCCTGAGCAAGAGGAGGTGTTGTTTTATTACTGTGAAGTTATCCTGCTAGATTGTTTGCTTTTTTTTTTTTTTTTAGGTCTGTTTGTGAGGAAATGATGTTCTTTAAGCACTTTGTTACAAAGTTTTTCATATTATGAAATCTCCATCAGAAATTCTGACAGTGTAAATGAACCTTAAAAATATTTTGTAGGTTGCAACTATGTTTGCTGTAATGCGAGATACAGATTATATGCAGAAAGAAACATTCAAAAGTAATTTCTGGAGCGACTGGCGCAAATTGCTAGGAAAAAACCATGTAATTCAGAACTTGGAAGGTTGTGACTTTACCCCAATATATGACTGGTATCAAGTCGAAAAGAGAAGAAGAAACAAATGAGTACAGAAGTAAGTTGGTATCTAGCATGAGCTTTTTTTACTATGACAAAGATTAGCATTGTAACAAAGCATCATTTCTTCTGTTGGTTGAGTTCAACTTTATTAGAATGCTAATGATAATGACTTGGCACTTAAGAAATTAAGAGTGAAGTATGAATGAGTGGAAGAAGCAAGACTTTGGTATACGAAGATGAAGTGGGTATAAGGATTTGGGTGATGCTGAGAAGTGAGAAGTAGGTTTTGGTTAATGGATTCCAACTGTGGAACAGTACTGTAAACACCAAAGCTGGTGTATTCAGCTGGAACAGGCTTCTTCATTTGAGAAGTACCAAGGTGTCATGAAAGTTAAACAACTCGTTGATTATGATTGAATGAATGTTCTTAAGCATGACATACAAGAACCCCAGCATCTTAGTTTGCTTGTGCGTGTCTCTGTTTGATATATTACTTGTCTTTTAAATTTCTTTGAAATGAAGTTCATACTTGCAAGTTATAGTACCGTTGTGAGGTGAGGATAAACTCATAATGTAAACTCTTGTAAACTTGTAAGGGTTTACATTACATCAATTAATAATATTTGTGGAAAACTTGGAGCATAGATTGTTTTTGTGAATAGTGCTTAAAATAGAATATGAAGTGAAAAAAATCATATTTAGATATTTTTTTGCCAACCATATTTAGATATCTATACAACGATATTTAAATGCCAAATTCTCAACTTACTGGTGCTGCAATGAAATTCTCACAAATACACTTGCCGAAGTCATAAGCCTACGTATGAACAGTATGTGAATGTCTGTCGTTGTTGATTTATTGATATGAATAAATGAAATGCAGATAAAAATGAAAAAAAAAAGACAGATTCATAGATAAAGGGAGAAGCCCGTTCATGTCAATCATTTTTGTCCATTAACACATCCTGCTGTCATATGGGCTGGTCTAAGTTGAGTTCAGGGATTTGATCAAGGAAAGAAAGGGGCTAAAAGTAAAACTGTTACTAGTTGCAGCAGAAATCGTGTGATGCCCACAAGCTTGAGTCGTTGAGTTTGATGCAATCTCACAAACTCATTTTTAGCAGCCATGTTTTGAACCATGTGAATATGACCCTTTGCTAATACCTTTTGCTGAAGGCTCGGCATGACTTGGCTCCAAGAGCCTTCTATCTACAACTATGATGCTTCTTTGTGCACTATACCCAAAGGGGGGGGGGGAATCAGAGCATGCTTTGATCCCTGATTTTGTGGGACAAATGCCTGTCGGCACCCCAATGTTAATTCTGTAGCATTCTCACTTGTTGGCGGTCAAACTGAGAGTTAATTATGTCCTTCACTGGCTTCTGTATGTTGGAATTTTATGCGTGGTTATATATATACTCATAAAAGTAATTTCCTTACTGAGCCAGTCAAAAGTAATTTTCCTAAAATTAATTGTTATTATTTTCCTTAATGTTGTTCCAGTGTTTTTCCTGACAAGCATGGTGAATTTATAATGGGTCCACCATCATGTAACTAATTTGGGTAGTTTTTACGAAGTTTGGATCGCCATTGGATAGTTCTAGGTTAGGTTAGGTTCTTGATAAGTCTATTGTCTCGCGGCCTTCAACTTTATGCGTTTTCTTTTTGGGATTTTGGGTGGATCAGATGCATTAGGACTAAGTTGGTTGAAGTTGGCCGAAAAAAAAAAGTGAGTTGAAGACGTTATAATTCATTTCTTTCTATTTGGTAACTGCTAACTTTCTTGTCTTGGATTCATGCAGGAAAAGAAGGCCCTTAAGGAGGAGAAAGCAAAACAAGAGGAGAAATACATGTGGGCCATAGTTGACGGTGTTAAGGAGAAGGTACTTTAATGTTGGGCTCTCACATTCTCCACGCTCTTAAAATTTCTGACTCCCAATCTATAGTTCAACTTCTTGTGGCTTCTGCAATCCATTTTTTTGGCTTATGTGTTGTCTGAAGAATTTTTGACTATTTGTGATACATGGCAAAAGCCTGACATAGCAAAATAGTCGTATCAATTCATTCACAATGATTTCATATGCCTAATGCCTACAAAACACCTGTGCATCGAATACTCATAACTACCCTGCTGCCTCCCCACTTTAATTCCTATATATCAATTGCTTTGTCAGACGCGAGTGGGTTCTGTAGCTTCCTTCTGCGTTCATGTTAAACCCTTTATTTTCTCTGTTGATCTTATCTTTAGTTAAAGTATATCTTACTGTTAAATGGATTTCTTTCATAAAAGTTATGGTTTTTTGTTTTCCTATTTTAAATGCTTGTGTAGACTTCAATGTTGTCTGTGTCAATTGTTATTTGTTCCTGAAGTTGAACTTGTTATTCTTGTCTCCTATTTAAGTGCAAGCTTTGAAATCTGAATCATCTTACTCTGTGCAAGTTGCTGAGTTCAAGTTCCCCTTTGGTAATTTGTTAGAGTTTTGACTAAATGTTATTGACAATTCGTTGTAGGTTGGAAACTTTAGAGTAGAACCACCGGGGTTGTTCCGAGGTCGTGGAGAGCATCCAAAGGTTACTGTCTTAGCTAATTACTAGTAGTAGAGCTTTTCAGATATAAATGTGATTTCTTACGATGTGACATCACATGAGATATTTTACCAGATTTTGTGGTTAATAATGGTTTATTTCTATTTGTTATTAGATGGGCAAACTGAAAAGGCGCATTCATCCAAGTGATATCACAATTAATATCGGAAAGGATGCTCCAATTCCTGAATGCCCTATCCCTGGTGAAAAGTAAGTTACACTGGAGAGCAGGAAAAATTTAATATCAAATCTGGTCAAAGTTGAAAGTCAACGTTATTTTTTATCCTTGGGGTTTGTGACCTTGGCAGGTGGAAGGAGATTAGGCATGACAATACAGTAACATGGTTAGCATTCTGGAGTGATCCAATCAACCCAAGGTTGTTCAAATATGTTTTCCTGGCTGCTAGTAGCTCTTTGAAGGGGCAGAGTGACAAGGAAAAGTATGAGAAAGCTAGGATGCTGAAGGTACCTTTGTGCTTTATATTTTTTATGAACTCCATTTCTGTTTCCATTCATGATACTTTAGGGTAAGATTTCTTGTAGTTTGTTTAATTAATTATCTCGGTGCAGAATTATATAGGGAACATTAGGGCTGCATACACGAAGAATTTTACGAGTAAAGATATTACAAGGCGGCAAATAGCTGTTGCTACTTACCTTATCGATAAGTTAGCTCTGAGGGCTGGCAATGAGAAGGTATTGTCTGGAGAATCGTCACTCACTTGTGCTCACTGCAGATCATACATATGATTGATGAAAAGAGTACAACACTCATGCCCAGGCATAAAAGCAAGAATTATTTTGAATACTAGTCAAATTCATCAGTGAACTTGAAATTCAAGTCCTTGCTGGTTTCAGTTGAAATCCTAAAGCTCTAAAATCCACAAAAATCATGTTTCCAAGTGCCCACCTTGTTCTTGTCTATAGAAAGAAATATTTTTCATATTTAGTCAATGGTGAAGGCTATTCCATATGAACATTTGCATTAAAGTAATGATAGAATGGATAATTTGGAATTCTATAAATGGTGTATTTTCTTTAATTTATAAATTTGTGTGCCTGGATTTGCTAAAGCGACTTGATGCAGATTCCGCTTGTAGCTTTGTTGGCATTCCCCTTTACATTTGTTGTGCTATTCTGATTTTTACTCGTTAAAAAAAATTCTTGAGCATATAGTTATTTTAGTTTCCTTTCCTCAGGATGATGATGAAGCTGATACTGTTGGTTGCTGCACATTGAAAGTGGAAAATGTAACAGCAGAAGCCCCCAACAAGTTGCAGGTGTTATGGCTTTCAAATTATCACGTTCTCTGTTTCTTTTTTAGCTGGGAATGGCTGATCAGATTATAAGTCCTTAGGTTCAAGGATTTAAAATTTCTGTGTCATCTTGATCTTTTAATCTTTTAACGATAGCATCTCTTTTAAAACTTTCTTCTATTAGTAATCACTTTTTCTTATTTGGATTAATGCAGTTTAACTTCCTTGGTAAAGATTCGATCAAGTATGAAAATACGGTAGAAGTTGAACAGCAAGTTTATAATGCAATTTTAAAGTTCCAAGCAGGTGGGAAACATATTTCATATGATATATCTATGCTTTGAAACTGAGGTCCTTAAGTATTTGATATTTTGATCTTCAGAAAAAAGCCCTGGTGATGATCTCTTTGACAAGCTAGATACAAGTAAACTAAATGCTCACCTGAAGGAACTGATGCCTGGCCTAACGGCTAAAGTTTTCCGTACATTCAATGCATCTATCACATTGGATGACATGGTAATAATGGTTTTATTCTGCAAATCATTAAGCTAACGTGCCTTGAAATGACTATACTGTAACTCCATTATCTCCTAGACTTCTACATACCCTTCAATTATTCTTCTGTTACTAATTGTATTTTTGACATCAAAAATTTCTTTTCCCTACATTTTTTTTTCTACGACAGGTGAGGAGTCAGTGCCTCCCTAAAGAGCACTGCATCTTTCATTGGAGTTGAAATTTTACCTTGATTATAAACTTGTAATACGCTTCTGGAATGCTTTACTAAATCCTTGTTTCCTACATATGCTATATATCCCATGCAAGCATACGTTAATTCTATTTTCATAGCAAAATGGTGTCATGCATATTGTTGTCAAGTGTATCTGGCATGTCATCAGGAAGTTGTATGTCTAATTTTCTGGGATCCTGTGATAACAGTTGACCAAGGATACTAAAGATGGTGATGTTGCAGAGAAAATTGGGGTCTATCAGACTGCAAACAAGGAGGTGAATGGCTCAATATATGTGCAACATGCTCATGTTAGTTCTATTCTATGTATTCATTCGTAGACATCGTCAGCTTCATTGCTACTGTCTTTGATGTCAGGTTGCAATTATTTGTAATCACCAACGTAGTGTGTCAAAATCTCATACTGCACAAATGTCAAGGTTAACTGAGAAGATTGCTGAACTCCAGGTACTGAGAATCCCTGGGTTTTGGTGAATTTGTTGGCAAACTAGGGTTTTTTGTTATAAATTTATAACTCAAGCTGGCCTGCTCTTTACTTGTAGGGTGTTCTGAAGCATTTGAAAACAGATTTGGACAGGGTAAAGAAAGGCAAACCTCCTCTGAAGAGTGCTGAGAGAAAACGGAACTTAACTCCGGATGCGTAAGATGGCTTTCTTCATACCTTAGGCTTTACTTGCTTGGTTATGATATATGTATTATTATTATTGCAATCTACAGACTAGACAAAAAGATTACTCAAACCAAGGCAAAAATTGATAAGATGCAACGTGACATGAAGACCAAAGAAGATCTCAAAACTGTGGCATTAGGCACATCCAAGATAAACTACCTGGATCCCAGGATTACAGTGGCTTGGTGCAAGCGGCATGATGTTCCTATTGAAAAGGTGCTGGTTTTCTTCACTTGTTCAGATGAAGTTATTTATGATAATTTTTCGTGTTGCCAGTGCTCTAAAGAATTTAATGGGCTTGAAGAAATAATTGTAAACTAGTGCTTTTTTTTTCCCAATATATATATATATTTTTTGGTTGCTAGTCTCAGTATATTTACTCGGAAGAAAAACGCAAATGCCTTCATCTTTGAGCGATTTGCATTTACCTCTCTGAATTTGAAAATTGTAAACTAGCGTTCCCTTTCAGTTGTGGTATGCTCCCATTTATTTGTAAACAACAAATGATAGATACGCGAGATAATTTTTGATGGTGGTTTCTTTGTTAGTGAGAAACAAGAAAATGGATTGAAGGATACTGATCTTCAAGTATCATAGATAAGCGAGATAACTTTTTGGGTTTCCAAGTTGAGGGGGTGTTAACAAATAGGTCCTTTCTTTCTTGTTTTCTTGAGTAGAACTCATTGAAATGACAGTTAAGCTTGACATGGTTAGTGGGTAGCAGTTCTCTTGTGCTCTTCTTTGTGATGGCTGGAGGCAAGGTTGCTTCCAGTCAACAAAAAGTTGCTTGTATAACTCTGCCTACTTGTTAATTCGAGCCTACGCATGATTAACACTAGAATCATTAATGTAAAGTTTACAAAAGTCATATTTTTTTGTAAGCCACTGACGGTCTATTTTTGGCATTCCATGCTAATTGGCTGTATTTTTGTATTTAACGTCATATTTTTGCTGATTTGTACTACTTGTTCCCGGAATGCTCAGATCTTCAACAAATCTCTGCTGGCAAAATTTGCCTGGGCAATGGATGTAGACCCTGGCTTCAGATTCTGAGATCTCTTCATGAGCGGAGACTTCATCTTTTACTCATTTCTTTTTACACAAAAAATGTATATTTTTTGGTTTGGCCAAGCCCAGCGGAAATTTATGTTGTAATTTCTTCTAATCTAATTATTGGGCGAGTTTGCCCTGCCACTGGCTGCTTTTCGCTTTGAGTTTCAACCATTCATAGTTATGATTATAATGCCGCACTTGGCAAATGTTAAAATGAGGTGAAGTTTTTCTAATTCATTTTTCAAGAATAGCTATTTGTTTCTGTTTGTTGCCATAGTTTGTCGTGGGCGTTTTTAGTTTGTGCCAGGTTCTTGCCTTTCCCCAAGTTCAAGTTAGTCAGGTCTGTTTCTGGCAAAAACGATCATGTTTCATATGTATTTGGAAAAACAAAATTTTATTTAGGTTCTGGGTAGATATTTCAATTTAGCCACTTAGTTAACGAGCGATTTGATGCCCAAATGTCTGCAATGCTATCATTTTATCTTATTTAGGACTCTATCCATAGCTGAGTTTGTTTTCTCAGAACTTTGTATATCCAATCCCCAGTTAGAAAGCTAATTTTGATGTGAAATTTTGCTTCAACATGGAAAGTTTACAAGTCTTGTCCATTAGATGGGGTCTTTGCTATACGGATCAGATCATGCTATATTGCTCTATTTTATAACATTGAAAGTTTATAATATGACAATTTATTTGTGAAAATTGAAGTCCATTTATACAGGTGTGAATCTAAATATGGCATTATGTACTACAAATTGCAAAAGTGAAGTGATTCTTAATAGCAAAACTACACAATACATTCAAGAGTTGTAATCAGGTATCTTGTATTGAAGGTATTTGACCTGGTCATCCTTCTAAGGCAACAAATCCTAGGCTATAATATGGGCTTGACTCAGGTTAACCGACAATTGAAAAGATTGGGCTCCAGTTGGGTAGGTTAGGAAGAATACATCCGCATCTCCTCTAAAGGCTCAGATATAACGTTTTTGACTCTAATCCAATGGTGGCTGAGGTTGCCCCAAGTCAGAATGTAAATTGACCAAGGCTATTGGATTCATCACCATTAGGTTTTGGAAGAAGCGTTACACGGACTAACTTAAGAGTCTTTACGATGACGAAACACTTGAGATATTTTGTAATTTTGGACTTGTATCAAAATTGAAGTCCTGCACTAATAACTGAGCACTTTTTTTTTTTTATTTAATTTAATACATTAAGTGAACCAAATATATAAGTAGGAGACAGCCTATAAACTAGGACTCGTCAGTAAGAGACATATCAAACATCAATAGATTGAGCAGAGATGCTTTGAAACAAAAGGCCCAAATAATGAAGATGTCACATTTAAAAAGCATTCAGTGAGAACTAAGAACCCATTCTAACAGTCCAATCCCATATTTAGAGTCTGCAGTATTTTGCAAGACTTTGAAAGCCCCGTGGCATGCTCAAGGGGCAAAATTTGCAAGCTTTGACGGAAAAGCACATTTGAAATGAAACCCAGACTCGGATGTGGAACCAAGTCCAGTAACATTTTTCATATGGGGAACTCACCTCTCTCAAGTTACCTAAATATAAATATTTACGTATATCAAATTATACTTAATACTATAGAGGGCTAAATATAATGTTGATTTATTGGAACGGCACTGTTTTTAAATTAATTGTACACGTTATTGAAGTGTTTAGAAAAACAATAAATGGGTAAGAAACAAAATACCTCATTATAACAGTTGTTATATATGTTTAATAATATTATAGCAAAATAATTTATAGAAAATCTTTAACGTTTTAAAGATGGAGACTAGCTTATATGGAGCCATTAAGATTTTATTTACATCTGATTGGGTTTTAATTTTTTATAACCTTTAACGTAAATGCATTTCAAATTTATTTTCATCAAAAAACCAAAATATAATACATCTTTTAATAACCGAGTTGTGAACTACTCTAACTCATTTTCCTTTAATTTCCTTTCTCTCTTCTCTCACCTGCACCAGACGTTTCTCTCCTTATTGCCTTTTTACCACTTTTTTTTTTTGTTAAAATCTCCTTTCCCCCTTTCTTTCTTCTCTCCTTTTTCTTCTGTACATACTTTTGCAACGTGATGTTGTGATTTAGCAAACTTTTTTGTTATAAGGCAATTTATTTACTCAACTAATATTTGATTTTAACGCGAAACTTATAGATTTGCTGCAGCTAATATGTATGTGTATCATCAACTTGTAATACCTGATTCGTTTAAAAATAGGTTGGGTATAATATTATGGGATCCAAATATATTTAATTAATGAGATTTGAATAACATCTTAATTGAGATTTGAATATATTGAATTACATGGAAAACATTATAAATAAATGGAATTTCGATGGGAAGTTCAAACGAAAAAATTAATAATTAATTTTGAATTTGAATAATATCTTAATTAGGATTTGGATATATTAAATTAAATGGAGAGCATCATAGTTAAATAGTATGTCAATTGGAGGCTTAAATCAAGAAATAAATAAATAATCTCAAATTTTCATACATTCCCTCTAATTCTACATCTCTAATTCAAATTCCATTTGAATAAAGAAAAAAAAATCATGCTCCTATAAGAAGCAAATCTTGAGGTACTGTAGATAATGAAATTTATTAGAATTTTAAATCTAATTAAATATAATGATCTGTGTATTGCATGGGGGAGAAATTTCTAGTTTAGATTAGAAATCAAGATTAGAGAATTTTAATGAATTTGATTTTAACATATAATTGACTATTCTAATAAATTAAATAAACTAGACATCCAAGGGATAGTGGTTTGCAAGAGGAATTAGGCTTTAGATGTTAGCTGTAAGGCTTTAAAGTAGTTTTAGCATGACACTAAAATAAGGAAAAATTAAAGAAAAGGACTAAAAAATAACATTTATTGAAGAATATTAAAAATCATAATTATTTAAAAGACTAAATATCAAAATATAAATTTAGAGATGCTAAAAATTACCTCTAACTTTTTTTAACAGACTGAATTACCTTTAACTAAATTCCTAAATTTTATCTAATTACATTTCACTCTCACATATGTTTCATGTTTTGGCGACCAACTACTATAATGTGTAAAATTCATATTTTAATGATGTTGGTTTAAAAGTAAAAATTTATCACTTTCATATAAACCAACAAATAAGCAGGAAAATGAGTCCCGCAGATTGGTTTCATAGCTTTAAGCTTTTCTCAATACTATTCCTTATTTGTTAACAATTTTTTTTTTTTCTTTCTTGATCTTGTTTTTTGTGTATTACAGTAAATAATAATTTAAAAACTTATTTAGATTAAGAGAATAAAAATTTTTACATATAAAAATAAATATGAGCAATGTTATTTAATTTATTATTTATTATTTTAAAAAATTGAAATTGACAAAATTATTTATAATTTTTTAATTGTATTTATTGAAATCAATTAAAATGTGTAATTAAATATAGATATATTATTATATATATACACACATATATTAAAACAATTTATAAAGACAAAAATTCAAGAAAGAGATATTTGGAGGGGGGGAGCAGAGAGAATTCCAATTGAAACAGGAAGAAAGACAAAGATAAAAAATTAACTTTTACTAATTGGGAAAAATATAACTAGTACCAGCATGGTTTATCTAGATGAATAATTTCATTTCATTGGTGTTTAGGTATAAAAGATATTTTGGATTAATAATAAATGATTTTGATGTGAGTTTCATAAATTTTGTTTCAAATATTGATGAGAAAAAGATTATAAAAAAGTTTCGTAAAAATTAAGGAGATTATAAAAAATATATTCATTGGAGGTGTGACAAGAGAAAATATAAGGATTTAGTTAAGGGTAATTTAGTATTTTTGGACTATATTTTAGTATTTGGTCCTTAAAATAATTGTAATTTTTAACATGCTTCTCAATGAATATTATTTTTTGATCATTCTCGCTAATTTTCCCTTAAAATAACTCTAGAATAGTTGTTTTAATAATATATTTATATTTAAATGCTTCTATGGTCCTATTTATAAGGTAACAAGAGAAGGCTTTTGTTAGTCTTATTTATAAATTACTTTATTAAATTTTTAGCATGAATATACTATTTTATCTTTTATTTACTATAGTGTAGATATTTTTTTATAAGTGTATATATTAAATAGGCGTAAAGTTAAACACTAGTTATATTTTAATAAAGAGTTAGCATATTTTAAGATTTTTCTTAGTCTATATAAAATATGCTAAAACTATCTTATAAATAAGACCAAAAGAGTAACTCATGAAGAGGCGAGTTCCTATATGAAAAATGTTGTGGCACTTGTTTTTGCATCTATTGGTTGAGCTTCCATCTCAAGTGTGTTATTTAACTAACGAACGTTACATTTGATGAAAAAGGTTAATCCCTCACAACTTAATTAACCAACTCTTGAATCCATACTATAGGAATTGATCTTAATATGAAACATAAAATAAGTTTTCTAAGAAATCGTCTTTCTGTCTCAATAAGTGTCTAATGACGAGATGAATAATGATGATATCTTTATTAATACCAACCCTGTAAATATATCAATTTATTTTATAATTAAAAATATATTTAAATCATTATATTATTCATTATGTTATTATATAAATTGATGTTCGATTATAATATAAAATAATGAAGTTTGAAATTAGCAACAGAATAAACTTAACGATGGAATTAGTAACAAAAAAATTCTATGGCAAATAATTTAGTGACAGAATTAGCAATAGAAGTTAGCGGAGAAAAAAATTTCATCATAAAAAATTTTATAACAAAAATTTGCAACGGAATATGTGCCGGATATTTCTGACCAAAAATTTTTGTCACTAAAAATTTAGTGACAGAATAAAATTCTGTCGCTAAAAATTTATTAAATTTAGTGATAGAATTTGCATAGTTAATTCACTAAAAATTAGTAATGGAATAATTTTTTGTTAGTAATAAGTTGCTTTTTTGTAATGCTAAGAGATGTAGTCATATTTAGTACTTAACAATATTTTGAATAGGTTTGCCTCCACTAAAATGTTACTTACGGGTTAGGGAAAAAAGGTTCTTTATCAAAGTTTGCAAAAACTCTTTTACTATTTTTCTTCCTTTAATGTGTCATGGGGCTTTCAATATTTTGCA